TGCTTGATAGATTCAGCTATTGAAACTTGTGTATGCTTCTCGTGCTGTGTTTTTCAGCTCCATCGAATTGTTTATGTTCTGCTCTAAGATTTTTATTCTAGTTAGCATTTCATCTAATCTTTTTTCAAGGTTGTTAGTTTCTTTGCATTGGGTTAGAATATGTTCCTTTAGCTTAGAGAAGTTTATTATCCACCTTTTAAAGCCTGCTTCTGTCAATTTGTCAAACTCATTCTTTATCTAGTTTTGTTCCCTTGCTGGTGAGGAGTTGCAATCCCTTGGAAGACAAGAGGTGTTTTGGATTTTGGTGGTTTCAGCCTTTTTGCACTGAGTTTCTTCCCATCTTCATGGATTTATCTACCTTTGGTCTTTAAAGTTGGTGACTTTCAGATGGGGTTTCTGAGTGGACATCTTTTCTGTTGATGTTGAAGCCATTTCTTTCTGTTTTTTAGTTTTCATTCTAACAGTCAGGCCCCCCTGCTGCAGGACTGCTGGAGGTCCAGTCCAGACCGTGCTTGCCTGGGAATCACCCATGAGGGCTGCAGAACAACAAGGGTTGCTACCTGTTCCTTCCTCCGGCAGCTTCCTCCCAGAAGGGTACCCACCAGATGTCAGCCAGAGCTCTCCTATATGAGGTGTCTCTCAGGATATACAGGGATCAAGGAGTCACTTTAGGAGGCAGTCTGTCACTTGCAAGAGCCCAAGTGCTGTGCTGGGCACTCTGTTGCTCCCTTCAGAGCTGCTGGGCAGAGACGTTTAAGTCTGCTGAAGTGGAACTCACAACTGCCCCTTTTCCCAGGTGCTCTGACCCAGGAAGGTGGGGCTTTATTTTTAAGTCCCTGATGTGCTGCTGCCTTCTTTCAGAAATGCCCTGCCCAGCAAGGAGGGAGTCTAGTCACAGTCTGCCTTCAGAGGCCTTGCTGAGCTGCTGCAGTCTCTGCCCAGCTGCTGTGTAAACTTCCTTGCAATTTTGTTTATACAAGCAAGGTTAGAACTGCCTCAGTAATGATGGACACCCCTCCACCCACTGAGTTCAACTGTCCCAGGTTGAGCTCAAACTTGTGTGCTGGCTGTGAAAATCATAAACCATTGTGTCTCAGTTTGCTGGTCTTTGTAGGGGTGGGACCCGCAGAGCCAGATCACTTGGCTCCCTGCCTTCAGCACCATCTTCTTCAGGGGAATGGGTGGTTCTGTCTTGCAGGCATTCAGATGCTGGCTAAAACGGCCACCCAGTTTTGTGCTGCAAACACGCAGCTCTGGTGTTGTCAGCACCAGCAGGAATATCCTGGTCTCTGGGCTGTAAAGACTGTGGGAAAAACACAGTATCTGAACCAGAGTGCCAGAGTGTTCAGAAAAGAACCTGATAGCCTTCCTTGGGTAGGAGAGGGAGTTCTCCCACCCCTTGCACTTCCTGGGTGAGACAACACCCCACCCTGCCTCAGTTTGCCCTCGTTGGGCTACACCCACTGTCCAACTAGTCCCATTGAGATGAAACTGGTACCTCAGTTGGAGATGCAGAGATCACTCACCTTCTGTGTCACTCTCACTGGGAACTGTGCTCCAGAGCTGTTTCTGTTTGGACTTCTTCAGCATCTTCACACTGCCTTTTATATTTACTTATTTAGTTACCTTACCAGTGTTCTTTATTTCTTCATGTGGATTCATGTTACCATCTAGTGTTTTCTAATTTCAGCATGAAGGACACATTGGTATTTCTTGTAGGATAGTGCTGCTAGTTAAAAATTGCTCGCTGTTTGTTATTTGGGAGTGTCTTAATTTATCCTTAAAGTATTAAGGAGCGTTTCCTGACTAAAAAGCATTAGTTAACAGTCTTTTTCCTTCAACTTTCTGAAGATGTCATCTTACTGTCTTCTTGCCTCCACGATTTCTGATAAGAAGTCAGCTGTAGATTCATGTTTTTCATCAAGTTCAAAAAATATTTTGTCATTATTTCTTCAAATATATTTTCCTGCAACTTTTCTTTTACATCTCTTTATGGAATTCCGTTTGTAGCTATTCTGGTATGCTTGATGGTGTACCATGGTTCTCTATGTCTCTATATTTTTGTTTGTTTTTTGTTCCTTATACTCTTCATTTACCTATCCTCAAGCTCACTAATCTTTTTTCATTCACTTCAAACCCATTATTGAACTGCTCTAACAAATTTTTCATTCCAGCTACTTTCTATTCAATGGGGAAAAGGTACTCTTTTGCACAAATGGTATTGGATATTCTCATACAAAAGAATGAAGTTGTACTATTATCTCACATCATTTATAAAAAATTAACTAAAAGTGAATGAAAGGCCTTAATGTAAAATCTAAAAGTATGAAAACACTGGAAGAAACATAGGAGAAAGCTTAATGACACTGGCCTTGGCTGTTGCTTCTTCAATATGACATACAAAGTATAGGCAACAAAACAATAGAAATTGATCAGTATTTAATACTTTTGTGCATCACAGGACAGTGTCAAGAGAATGAAAAGGCAACTTACAGGACAAAAGAAAATATTTGCAGATTTATATCTGATGAGGGATTAAAATCCAGAATGTATTTTAAGACTTTCATAAGTCAGTGATAACAACAACAAAAAATACACATAGAACCTAATTTAAAAATGGGCAAAGAAATTGAATCCACATTTCTCCACAGGTATACAAATGGACAATGAGCACATGAAAAGATACCCAACATCACTAATCAATAAGGAAATGTAAATCAAGAGCACAGTGAGATACTACTTCATTCCCATTAGGATCACTGTTATTAAAAAACAAAACAAAACAAAAAAAACCAATAAGTATTGGTGAGTGCTGTGGTCTAAGTTTGTTCCCACCAAAATATATGGTGATATTTCATCCCCATTGTGGTGGTGTTGGGACATGAGGCCTAGTGGTAGATATCTGGATAATGGGGTTGGAACTCTCATGAATGGCTTGGTGCTACTCTGGAGGTAGTGAGTTCACACTCTGATGAGACTGGATTAGTTATCACTGGAACAGGTTAGTTCCCTAGAAAGCGGGTTGTTGTAAAGCCAGTACGCCCTTTGTGGTTTATCTCTTTGCATATCTCAGCTTTCCCTTTGAACTTTCCTGCAATATTTTGACCTAGTACATGGCCTGCAATAGAGGAAGAGCAGATGTGGGTGCCATGCTTCTTGTATTTCCCAGCCCACAGAACCATGAGCTATATAAACCTCTTTTCTTTACAAGTTACACATCCTCAGGTATTCTCGTTTAGCAACACAAAATGGACTAAAGCAAGGAGAGTGTGGAGAAATTAGAACCCTTGCACACTGCTGGTGGGAATGTAAAATAATACAACCACTATGGAAAACATTACCTCCTTTCTTAAAAAAATTAACATAAAATCACCATATTTTACATCTGGATATATGCCCAAAATAATTGAAAGCAGGCTCTGGAACAGATATTTACACATCTATGTTCCTAGCAGCATTATTAACAGTAGCTAAAAGGTGGAAGCAACTCAAATACGTCAAGAGATGAAGGGGTAAACAATATGTTATATATACATACAAAAGAATATTAGTCAGCTTTAGAAAGGAATAAAAATCTGCTACATGCTAAAAAAATTAGTGAACCTTCAAAACATTATACTCAGTGAAAGAAGCCAGACACCAAAGGGCACATACTGTATGATTCCACTTATATGAGATACCTAGAAAAGTCAAATTCATATAGACACAAAATAGAACAGTGGTTACCAGGGGATATAGGGAGAGGAAAACGGGAAATAGGAAGTTATTGTTTAATGGCTATAGACTTTCAGTTTGTAATGACAAAAAATTTCTGGGGATGAATACTGGTGGTGATTCTAAAACAGAATGAATGCACTTAATATCAATAAATTGTACATTTACAAATGGCTAAAATATAAACTTTATATTATATATATTTTTCTACAGTGAAAAATATCCAAAAACTTAAGTATTTTAAAGTGAGCAATACAATAGCATTTAGTATCTTCACAATGTTTTGCAACCATCACCTCTATCTAGTTCCAAACCATTTTCATCACCCAGAGTAAAACTCCTCACTCACAAAGCAGTTTTTGATTATTACTGTCTCCCCTAGTCCATAATAATTATCAACATGTGTCATATCTTTTATCAATCTACTAGGACTCCCATAACAAAATGCCACATGCTGGGTAGTTTAAATAGTAGAAATTTATTTTTCACAGTTCTGGAGGCTGGAAGTTCAAGATCATGGTATCAGCAGGCTTGGTTTCTCCTGAGGGATTTCTTTTTGGCTTGCTGATGGCTGCCTTCGCTCTTCATGTCTCATCTTCTATTTTAATTTATATTTTTAGTTGAGAAGAAATATTGTACATATTTATGGTACACAAAGTGAAAGTGATGTTTTGATATCTTTATACATTGTGGAAGGACTGAATCAAGCAATGTAATACATGCATTAACTCATATACTAATCCATTTTTGTGGTGAGAACACTTAATGTCTACTCTCCTAGCAATTTTCAAGCAGACAATATTATGTGATTAACTATAGTGACCATGGTATAATTGATTTAGTGAACATATTCCTTTCTAACTGAAATTCCTTGAAGTTCCTTGAACTTTATTTACAGTCTTGCTTTACTTTGCAGAAGATTTAATATTTTTTCGCATAGTGAATGTTAATCTTTCCCTTTATGATTTAATGTTTTAAAATTTTTTATTTTAGTTTTTAAGTTACTTTTGGTGCCCATATACATCTTCTCTGTGTTGTTCCTTTCCCTGAATTTGGGTGAGCGTTTATATTTTATTTTATTGGTTTGCTTTTAATATAATCTAGGTAAAAATGTATGCACAAGTGATCCTTAAACTCTAATGTGCATCAGAATCACCTGAAAGATTGCTAACAATGTAATTACCTGAGCACCATTGCCAAAAGGTGGATTTTGGATAGCGGCCAGAATTACGTATTTTAAACAAGCTCCAAGTGGAATTCTGAAGTGTTTGATAGGATAGCAAAGATGGACAAACACTGGCAAATGTTTTCTTAAAAGGATGTCGTGGTGATTTGGGAGTATAATTCCTTCTTATGGTATTTCTTTTACAAGATATAAATTCTATATAAATCAATTAACCTCATTAGGGTAACACAGTCAATCAGGGGTAGTACATAGAAAACAAATCAAAGATATTTTAGCCACAAATTTCACTCAGATCTCAACTCTACAACAGAATCACCACATGATCTTTCACACTGTAAAGATCTGTTGGTCCCACTTTTAATGAGTCTGATTCAACTGGTTGGAATTGGATCCTGAGCTCCACTTTAAAGTATCCTCAGGTATTTCAAATCTGAAGCGAAGATTGAGAATTTATGTACTAAAGACAACAGCATTAAAAAATAAAAAGTAGTTGTCTCTTTAAGAAGGTCACTGTCTAATAGTGAAATAATGCCTGATGTATAAATTAAGTTTTGTGTAGTGTTTTCACAGGTCTCAGATCTGTCTACCAATCAGCACACCACCCAATTCTATATAATATAGGATGGGGAGAGGGGTGTCTAAGATTAAAGCTGGGACCTCTGCTTTAATTTATGTAAGTCCAGAGATATCTGATTAACTAGGGTACAGTGGGTATGGAGTGAAACACATTTTTTCTAAATTTTTAGGCAGTTCTTCAGGCAATTTTGATGTAGCTGGTCTATATAGCACATGCTGATGAACACTGACATATATAATGTTATGATAAGTGCATTTTAAAAAATTGGTGCATAATGCTTCTTCTGCTGTGTTCCTTTTTAATTGCAAGCTACAGTCTGTAGGGAAAATAAGTGCTTGCCCATAAATGATCAGAAGCAACCCTGGGTACAGATTGCAGGATTCAACTCAGCTATAATTAACTGTTGTGTCCTACAACTTATCAGGCCCTGTACTAAACACTAAGGGTGCCAGGATAAATGAGACAAAATATGTACTGTGAGAAGGGCATAGACTACTGGGGAACAGTGATGATTATAACGATGCCTTAAAACTGGGATTCACCTACCAGATCCCCAGTTCCTGCCATTATTTCCCATCAATCTTTAGTTACAGGTTTATTTGACACAGCAAATCTCAAAGCAAAGGAAGAGGGAAACTTATCTGGATCTATGTAAGTTAGTGTAGACTACTGGGAACTCCTAAGATCAGGGTGCTGTGGGCCAAAACAGTCTTGAGAACATAAAATTATCCCTACAACTCCTGTGTATGTGCAGAATGAAACCTGTAGCAATGTCTGCACAGAAAATGGATAGTCAAGGAGACTGGGCTATATTTCTCAGAGGATGGAAGAGATAATACAATTCTGAGCACACTATCATGAGTGCCACTCAAATTTGTCAGGGGGAAGGGGATGAAGAAGGAAGTATGAGAAAACCATAAAGGGTTGTTTGCATCTATATGCAGTGTTGGTGAAGTATCCATCTGGTTTAAGTATAACTCTAAGGCAGGGAGGAACATTCCATACATTTTTGAAAAGGCAAAATGGGGATTCGAACCACTGAAGGGTCTAGTGGAACCACTGAAGGGTCCACAAAGACCCAAAATTGGTGAGTCTTTGTCATCTTCAGCAGTCCAGTATGTCCGCAGTGGTAGAAGCCAGTGGAGGGAGCAAGACCCAGCAGAAGAGAAAGATGTGCCTAATTGTCATGGCATTGTGCAGAAAAGAAAGCCAGAGTAGCAGATGAATAGAAAAGCATTTACAGTTGAGCATTGCTAATCCAAAAATCCAAAATCTGAAGTGCTCCAAAATCCAAGTCTTTTTGAACATGATATGATGCTACAAGTGGAAAAATTCCACACCTGACTTCATATATGCAAAGTTTGTTTCACACACAAAATTATTTAAAATATTGTATAAAATTACCTTCAGGCTATGTGTTTGAGGTATATATAAAATTAAATAAATTTCATGTTTAGAGTTGGGTTTCATCCTCAAGATACCTCTAAGTACATGCAAATATTTCAAAAACTGGAAAAAAAAAAAAAACAGAAATCCTGAAATACTTCTAGTCCCAAGCATTTCAGATTTTGAACCTGTACTCACCTATAAATCAGTTGGACTCCTGATTGGTACACTCTTTGGAATCTTCCCTAAAAATGAAGGGCACCTGGAGGGCTGGAGCCTTGCATGTATAAATAGAGCAAGACACAGGGCTCAGTCATTACCTCATTTGATTCCCACAGCAGCTCTCTAAGACATTTATAATGCAATGTATCTGTAATTATCAGATATGTGTTTCTAAATGAGAGATCCACAGGTAATATGAGATTTATATGCCTTTAAATCGTGTTTCAAGTGTTTATTAATTGTCCCCATTCCCTGTATAAGCTGATTGGCAAGTTTGTTGCTTCTTTTTTTTTTTTTCCTGATACGTACAAAACATATGTATTCATTTTGAAAAAGTGAGAAAAAAAAACGTTAACCAATAAAAAAAAATTAAGAAATTTAAAAGTACCAGTAACTATACGACATAGAAAAAGCACATTCTGGTTTTCATATGTATAATATTTCACATAAATTATGTATTTTATATATAGTGTGCATACATATGCTTTTAAATGAAATCACATATCTATAGACTACTTTTAAATTGCTTTATTAACTTTACAGTGTGCAATAAACATCTTTCCATGAAAGTTGATGAAAATCCTCTTCTGACAGAAAAACTTACAGACTAGGTCTAAAAGCAATCTCTAATCAGAAAATGGCAGAAGAATGCCAAAAGGTTCACATTAAAGGTACACCAGGAAAAATGCGAATTTGGAAAGCAGGGATTTTATGATTATTAATCTCAAGATTCAAGGCATAAGGCAAAACTCATCATGATGATCATGCTGAGGGGGGTCCCCTATAAGAATGCGCAGACTGTACCTCAACTGAAGTTCCCTAATTTTCCTCCTTAGCTCTCTCATCTCCTCCATGAACCGTTCCATATCATCTGCATCTCCATCTATCATATCAATGTTATCAACAAGCCTATTGGGCGCATCCCCTCCAAAATCCTGGGCACGTGGAGCCTGAACCCCTCTAATATTTCCTTCAGGCTCCTGGTCTTCACCACCTCCTAAAGTGGGAGCTTCATTCTGCACTGGGGCCTTCTCCACAACTTTGTTTTCCTTGGGGACATTTTCCATGTTGAGTTTTTTTTTTTCTTCCTGTTTTTTTTCTTCCTAGAAGATCAAAAGCAAGAAGAGGGAATGAATGCTTGATAGGATTCAGAGCTCTGTTTGAGAAAAGTTTTCCCATCTGAGAAACTTTGTGAGCCCTGCAGGGGACGCCCCAGGCCCAGCGCTGCCCGAAAGTCCACCATTTTCCCTGAAAATCCCTTGCCCAGGCCACTCCTACCACCAAAATGCAGGACGAGTTGGGGGAGGGGGACAACCATAGAAAGACCAGACTTCATTCAGCACCCTGGGATTCTAATAAGCTCTCCAGGAGCGCCCCTGTACTCCCTTCTTCCCTCATCACACATGCCTGCCGTTTTTGAAGACTCACCTGAGTTTCTCCTGCACTTAACTCGGGCAGGAAGGGCTGTGTGTCACCAAGATTCTGCTCTGATCCTTGATACCCCTACCCCAGAGGACCCCAGGCAACCTACCTGCAGGGATGAGGCAGTCTTTCTCTCTTAGTCTTGAAATCTGCTGCACAAACGTACTAAAGACCTGAAGACAAATGCGACAATTACCAGGACTGATCATTTGATCAAAGGACTAGTACTGGGAGTTGATTTAGGGTTCTCCTAGTATTAACACCTTCTGTTTATCCTCCATCCTGTCTCACGGCTTCTCTTCCCAACCTGTGACAGGCTATCCCACCTTCGAGAAATAGGCATCAAAGATGATTATTTCCAAAACATTTTAACCTCTTCTTTAGGCTCCCATCCTTACTATTTCCTACTACCTGTCACCAAATTACCATTTTTGGAATGCAGACATCTTGCCTGGCGGGGGAGTTAGAAGAGCTTGCTGAACGGATACGTGGTTTATTCACAAAGAATTTCAATCTAGGTATCCGTCAGGCCCTCTCTCCAGCCGACCCCCACTTTTTTGCCCACCATTTTATGCATCAAGATGGACGATAAGTGAAGAGGTATGTGGGCATTGCAAACTACGACCTGCTGCGGTGTCTGCGCTTTGTCATTCTCACTCCAGGATCTACCAGCAGCGCCCCCGCTTACACCGACTGACCTGCTGGGACCAAAAACAGTTTCTCGCTCTTCGCCTCTGTCCCTCAGTCAGAAGCTCGCCCGCTCAACTGCCTCAATAGAGACCTGCTTTCCAGACCTAATCTCTGTCCCCTTCCTCTGCAGCAATTCCTCTCCTAGGCCCCTGTAGCCTATCATTTCCAGCTCTAAATGGGTAGAGGATGAAGAAAAGATACCTAGAACACAGGCCTAAAACCTTGGTAGAGTCCGCGCTCCCCACCCCTTGGTTGCCTGCTGCACCTCCCTCCTCCAGCGGCCCTGCAGGAAGCAGGCCATTTCCTGGCAGTCTCCTCCACCGGCCGGACTCCATCAGACATTGCCTGATCGTCGGCCTCCTAGGAGATCTCAAATGGTATCCATTCTCAATCCAGGCCCCTTGGGAGATCCCCTCCCCAACCAATCCATTTCTCACACTAAACTGCTGTGTATCTGGAAAGGGGTCGATAATCCTGGACCCGTTCTGGTCTTTGCCTTCTGCCGCCCCCACACCGGTCAGCGCCCACCAACCTGCTAGGGCTCCTCTGGAGTCGGCTTCTACCACTTTCCTCCTTTCCCGGGCAGCTTGTTCGCCTGCCTTCAGAGCAACAGCGAGCTGTCCCACTGCCACCGACGACTACCAGACCGCAACTAGAAGGAGAGACTAATCCACTCATTGGCTCTGGGTCTCCTGAGGGCCACGTCACTGTGAGCTCAGATTTCCAATTACCATTCATCCCGCAGTGCGGCAGGAAGGTGGGGGAGGAACTGTGGGCGGGGCCATCTTTCTCCTCATTCTTGCTTTCTCCACCATCACCCACACCTCTATTTTTTAATTTAGCCATCCCCAAGACCAAACGGGTCATAATATTTTGTAGTTTGTATTTGGCTTTCTCTGTTTTCTGCTGGAGCTTTTAAATAATCGCTTCCTCCTCTTCTGTACCCCTAAACGCACACTTCTCTGACCTTCACATTCCAGAAAATAAAGCCTTAACAGTTTTGTAGGCCTTTGTCCCAGATTGGAACCCGGAGAAGGGGTGGGGAGCACCAGGCTAGGAAGTCTGGAAAATAGGTAGGAAGTGGCATTCAAAAAATTTTTCACTTCAATTACTTTCCTCTTTGTTTATTTGGGAAGGTGGTTCCTTTTGTTTTACAACAGCATGCATTCATTTTGTTGTTTTTATTACTAAACAATACAATTATTTTCAGTTGAAAAAACAGGATTCGAGTTGTAAAAACATGACAATCTGTTTCGACTGCTGAATCATATTATAAATATAGACCTTCCAGAAAGCACTCCCCTACCTCCTTTAAGGACTTTGACATATAAGGGTGGTTTCTCTTGTGAAGGATCTCTATCTGCACGTCTTTCCATGAAGTGATGCACTGAGTCTAATAGAGCCTTGCTGGTGGACTTTCATATCTTGAGAACCTGTGACAAGCTGACGATCTCTTCTAAATTGTATTAGTGTAACTTCACCTTACAATAACACCTAGCCCTGACAATTCAGGACAATAATTTGGGGAAGCCACCCTAACAGATGAAAATGTATTATGATGGACACATAGAGGGGAAAAAGAAACACTGGTGCCTACAGGAAGGTGGAGGGTGGGAGGAGGGAGAGGACCAGTTTACCTGTGTAACAAAACTGCACATGTACTCCTGAACTTAAAAGTTAAAAAATGTATTGTGAAATTACAATGTTAAAATAATATTGTACTGGAATAAATAAGAAAAAAATAAAGAAAGCCGCTTATCAAACCCAAATATGGAAAAATGCTATTAAATCGATTGAAATATTTTGAATCAGTGGGGAAAGGTTAGATTGAAGAAATTGTGCTAGGATAATTTGTTATTTTGAAAAACAATGAAGTGCCTTATTATTCTCATACACTTAAAAATAAACACTAGATATTTGCACAAAAAGACATAAAACCATTAAAAATAGAACTTAGCATGTCATTTTGTATATAATCTTAGTATGGAAAAGTATTTTAAAGTACAGCACCAGATACTGACAAGACCAAAAGGCAATTGGCTCAATTCTGCTGGGACCCTCCCCGTCTCAGAAACAATTTAGAGTGCTCCTCAGAATTATACTAACTAGTGAAGAGAAATTGGGATATTTTTCTACAGACTTGGCTCCTTTATTGGCAGATGTTACCCTGAGGATGTTAAAATCGGTGGCACTTCTAGGTTGTCCTACACCTGGGCTGAGCAAGTTCCCAAGGTACCAGAAAAAGCGCTCAGCAAAATTAGAAAACACAGGTACAGTAGAAGGATGATATCAGTTTTATCTCCACTCCAAGAAATATACTATTCACATTTTACTCTAAATCAGTCAAAATATCTCCCTTCAAAAGCGAAGATAATACACACATACTCATTTTCTTTTTTTATTGTTATACTCTAAGTTCTGGGATACATGTGCAGCAGGTGCAGGTTTGTAACATAAGTATACATGTGGTAACATTGTAAGAGTAAATTAACAAAGCCTAACTACCTGGTATGTAGCTTTTGATGTGGTAAATGTATTCTTTTGCATTTACTTGTAAAGGGGATCAGAACATTTACTTTCACATGGAAGAGATAACATACCCATTTCTAGTTTTGCTTCAGGGCAAACAAAATACACACTCCCACAGGGCATCACATTGACCCATTATATCCATGATATGCTGCTTGGACAGGAAGAGAAAAATGTGGTTATTACACTAGAGGCCTTTGTAAGACACATGGGCTCTGGAGGGTGGAAGATATGCCCATTACTTTACAGAAATTTTAATAGGTTCAATGGTTGTAAGAATGCCAGGATATCTCCTCCAGAGTAAAAGAAAAGTTACTGCATCTTGCATCACCTCCCACAAAGAAGGAAGTACAGCACTTGGGAGGCCTCCTTGGGTGTTTGAAGCAACACATTTTATACCCTCTAAGTTATAAAGTAAGATGAATCCAGCAGTAGCCCATTATACGATGGAAACAGAATATCCTTGATTAAGTCCAAGGAAAACCAGAGGACATAGATTAGGTATATGAGCAGATAGCCCAGATCCCCATGCTACCCACCACAGTTGCACCAGTGCATCTCCTTTGGTTTTAACCATATGAAAGTATGCATCAAAAAGTGGGCAAAGGATATGAACAGACACTTTTCAAAAGGGGACATTTATGCAGCCAACAAACATATGAAAAAATGCTCATCATCACTGGTCATTAGAGAAACGCAAATCAAAACCACATTGAGATACCACCTCACACCAGTTAGCATGTGATCATTAAAATATCTGGAGACAACAGATTCTGGAGAGGATGTGGAGAAATATGAACACTTTTACACTGTTGATGTGAGTGTAAATTAATTCCACCGTTGTGGAAGACAGTGTGGCAATTCCTCAAGCATCTAGAAATAGAAATACTATTTGACCCAGTAATCTCATTACTGGGTCTATACCCAAAGGATTATAAATCATTCTGTTATAAAGATGAATGCACATGTATGTTTATTGCAGCACTGCTCACAATAGCAAAGACTTGGAACCAACCCAAATGCCCATCAATGATAGACTGGATAAAGAAAATGTGGCACATATACACCATGGAATACTATGCAGCCATAAAAAAGGATGAGTTCATGTGCTTTGCAGGGACATGGTTGAAGCTGGAAATCATCATTCTCAGCAAACTGACACAAGAACAGAAAACCAAACGCCGCATGTTCTCACTCATAAATGGGTGTTGAGCAGTGAGAACACACGGACACAGGGAGGGGAACATCACAAACTGTGGCCTGGGGAACATCACACACTGGGAGGGCTAGGGGAGGAATAGCAGGGGGTAGGGGGATTGGGGAGTGATAACATTAGGAGAAATATCTAATGTAGATGACTGGGCGATGGATGCAGCAAACCACTACCATGGCACATGCATACCTATGTATCAAACCTGCACGGTCTGCACATGTACCCCTGAACTTAAAGTATAATTATAAATAAATAAATAGATAAATAGAAAAGAAATTATGTGATTCCATATAACCAGTTGAAGGAGGAGGGGAAAGCTCAAGATTGGTTTACTGGATGAGCTTGGCATGTGAAAGTAAGTCAAAATACATGGTGACTGTATTACAGACACATTTAGAGGTGGTCCTGAAAGGCAGCAGAGAGGGAGAGAACATCTTCCCAGTGGGTAGGACTGCAAGCAGTGTACCTGATCATCCACTTTTTGTGGAAGAAGAAGTGGTTCATGATGGTAATATAAATGCTTTATTGGACAGTAGCCAAAGGTCTGGTGATATGGTCAGGAGCTTGAAAGGAAAAGATCAGGAAAGGGAAGTCTAGAGTAGAGGCATATGGATAGACATATTGGGAGTGGCATGAAATAGGAAGATTTCTGTATCAATCCTGTTTTAATGTTCACAAGAAAGCATCAATTATGAAAGAGTTACTGAAGAACCAAGCAGACAAAGCGACTTTGGCCGTTGACATTAACCAGCATTCATTTCGGTCTTCTCGGGACTGGTTTGCTGGGCCTCTGAAAGAACTAGCCATGGTGGCAGAAATAGAGGTGATATATGGGCCCAATATCATAGACTTCTATGTACCAAGACAATTTAGCTGCTTCCCTGTATGAATAGCCAAACTGCAGCAACAGAGACTAAGGCTCTTTCTCAAATATGACACTATTTATAAAGACCACTTAGCAGTAAATTGACTATGTTGGACCCTTTTCATCCTGGAAGGGTCAGTGGTTCATGCTCACAGGAATATATACCTATTCTGGGCATGGATTTGCTCCTTCACAGCCTTAATAAGCATCTGGGGGATTTGGGGGTTCCTGATCCACAGTCTTGGAATCCCACACAACAGAGCATCTGAACAGGGTAGTCACTTCATCGTAAAGAAGGGGCACAAATGGATCCAGAACAAGAGGATCCACTTGTCATATCAAATATTGCACCATCCAGAAGGAGCTGACCTCACAGAACACTTCTAAAGGCAAAGATAAAACACCAATAAAAGTAAACCCTGAAGTAATTGGGTGGCATCCTCCAGGATGCAGTATATGCCTTAAATCACAGACCTCCATGTTAGTCTTTAGATCTAATTAGAAGAATGGGATTAAGAGTAAGGGGTGAACGCAGGAGGGTGCCTATTCCTCATGATAGTGCCCCACAATCATCACAGCAGTGGTTTGAACAAGCATTGGACTACTCATGTCCAGGAACCAGCAGCCAAGAAGAGGAATCCACATGTGACAGGAGTGATTGACTCTGAACTGTAGGAGGGTGTAGGGCTGCTTTAGTAAAATGAGTAAGAAAGGAATACGTATGAAACCAGGTGATCTACTTGAGTGCCTCCTGGTATTCTCTTGCCCCATTTAACTGTGAATGAATAATGTCATTGAAAAGAGTTTGGACACCTCCACAATGAAGGTTTGGTTCACATGACTGGGTAAGCTTCCAAGACCAGTCAAGAGAACAACTGTGTGTGAGGGAAATTTCAAATGAGTAGTGGAAAAGGAAGAGAATAATTACCAGTTCTGGCCCACAAACTAAACGCAGCAATACAGGCTGTAGTGTGTCCCACTATTGTCCCTCTTCAGTTTCCCTTCATAAAGAGAAGCCCAAAGGAATAAGGAAGGAACCGTTCCATGAAGCTGAATGGAGAAATAGATCTGTGCAGTACAAAGGCGGACTGTGGTAACTATGAAAATGTGCTACTCAGATCCCCAGCTATAGGGAGCATAGTTGCTTGATGGCCTCAACTGCTGCCCCTTGGGACCAACCATTGCATTTGCACCAAAGCCATGCTTCCCTCAGACTTCTGCCAGATAATCACGGAGTGGGAAATAGTAATGCAGGTCAATTCTTTAGAGATGAGGAACTCCTCTAACAGGCAACTTTGTCTCATGGTATCCCTATCAACCTGTCAGAAACCTTAGAACTGTGGGACAGTCTGAAAGTATTTCTACCCATCTTTATTTTTTCCTTCCTCTTCTCTCTTCACAAACATCATTTCAGCATTATGATCGGGAGGCTCTTCCTGCCTTCTGCTCCCTTCCCTCCTCCCCCTTTTCCCATAATTAATCCCTTTCACAGGAGTCTTATCTTGGTGTCTGCTTCTCAGGGAACCTGAACTAACATGTGTACCATAAAAGTATTGTTTAGAATCACATGATTATATATTGGGAAATGTCGCATCCAAAGAAAATTCACCAAATATCATGGCTATATCGAAAATAAAGCAGTAATAGTTGTTTATTTTATTTAAAAGGTTACTGAATATAGGCCAGGCACGGTCGCTCGTGCCTGTAAACCCAGCATTTTGGGAGGCCGAGCCCAGTGAATCACTTGAGCTCAGGAGTTCAAGAGCAGTCTGGGCAGCATGATGAAACCGTGTCTCTATAAAAAATACAAAAATTAACTGGGCGTGATGGTGTGCATCTGTAGTCCCAGCTACTCAGAAGGCTGAGGCGGGAGGATCACCCGAGGCCAAGAGCAAAAATCACAGTCCAGCATTGGCAACAGAGTGATACCTTGTCTCAGGAAAAACAGCAACAACAAAAAAGTTACTGACTAAAATTTTTTTCCCATTTTCCCTCTTTAATTTTTTTTTATTCTAATTTCAGGGGTACATGTGCAGGTTTGTTATATAGTTAAACTTGTTTCATGGGGGTTTGTGGCACACATTATTTCCTTACCCAGGTATTAAGCCTAGTGCCCATTAGTTATCTGTCCTGATCCTCTCCCTCCTGCCAACCTCCACCCTCTAACAGGCCCCAGTGTGTGTTGTTCCCCTCTATGTGTGTCCATGTGTTCTCATCATTTAGCTCTCAGCTATAAGTCAGAACATGTGATATTTGATTTTCTGTTCCTGCATTAGTTTGGTTAAGGATAATGGCCTCCAGCTCCATCCAAGTTTCTGCAAACGACATGGTTGTGTTCTTTTTGTGGCTGCACAGTATTCCATGGTGTGTATGTACCACATTTTATTTATCCAGTCTATTATTGATGGCTATTTAGGCTGATTTCATGTCTTTGCTATTGTGAATAGTGCTGAAATAAACATACATGTGTATGTGTCTTTATGACAGAACAATTTATATTCCTTTGAGTATATATCAAGCAGTGCGATTGCTGGGAAAAATGGTAGTTCTGTTTTTCGGTCTTGGAGGAATCTTCACCTTGTCTTCCACAATGGTTGAAGTAACTTACACTCCTCAGCAACAGTGTATAAGTGTTGCTTCCCCACCCCCCACCCCACAGCCTCACTAGCACGTTATTTTTTTAACTTTTTAATAATAGCCAACCAGACTGGGATGAGATGCTGTCTCATTGTGGTTTTGATGTGCATTTCTCTAATGATCAGTGATGTTGAGCTTTTTTTCGTGATTGTTGGTCTGCATGTATATCTTCTTTTGAAAAGTGTCTGTCCATCTACTTTGCCCACTTTTTAACAGGTTGTTTTTTCTCGTAAATTTAAGTTCCTTATAGATGCTGAATATTAGACCTTGTCAGATGCACAGTTTGCAAAAACTTTCTCCCACTCCGTAGGTCGTCTGTTCTGTTGATAGTTTCTTTTGCTGCGCAGAAGTTCTTTAGTTTAACTAGATCTCATTTGTCAATTTTTGGTTTTGTTGCAATCACTTTTGGCATCATCATCATGAAATCTTAGCCTGTTCCTATGTCCAAATAGCTAATGCTATTGCCTAGATTAGCTTCCAGAGCTTTGATAGTTTTGGGTTTTACATTTAAGTCTTTAATCCATGTTGAGTTAATTTTTGTATATGATGTAAGGATGGGGTCCAGTTTCAATCTTCTGCATATGGCTAGCCGGTTCTCCCAGCATCGTTTATTAAACAGAGAATCCATTTCATGTAGCTTGGTCTTGTCAGCTATTCAGAAGAGCAGATATTTGTAGGTGTGTAGCCTTATTTCTTTATCATGTTCCATTGTTCTGTTTGTCTGCTGTTTTGATATCAGTATCATGCTCTTTTGCTTACTGTAGTCCTGCAGTATAATTTGAAGTCAGGTACCATGATGTCTCCAGCTTTGTTCTTTTTGCTTAGGATTGCATTGGCTATTCGACCTCTTTTTTGGTTCCGTATGAATTTTAACATAGTTTTTTTCTAGTTCTGTGCACAATGTCAATGGTACTTTAATAGGAATAACATTAACGTTGACTTTATAAATTGCTTTGGGCAGTATGGCCATTTTAATGACGCTGATTCTTCCTATCCATAAGCATGGATTTTTAAAAAAATTTGTTTGTGTCATCTCTGATTTCTTTGAGCAGCGTTTTGTAGTTCTACGTGTAGAGATCTTTCCCCTCCCTGGTTAGCTCTACTCTTAGGTATTTTAAATTTTTTTTTGTAACAATTGTGAATGGGTTTGCATTCCTGATTTGGGTTTTGGCTTGACTGTTGTTTGTGTATAGGAATGTTAGTGATTTCTGCACAGTGATTTTGTATCCTGAGAATTTGCTGAAGTTGTTTATCAGCTTAAGAAGATTTGGGACTGAGACTATGGGGTTTTCTAGATATAGGATCATGTCATCTGGAAAAGGGATAGGCTGACATCCTGTCTGCCTAGTTAGATGCTCTTTATTTCTTTTTCTTGCTTAATTGCCTGGCCAAGACTTCCAATATTATGTTGAATATGAGTGGCGAGAGAGGGCATTCTTGTCTTGTGCCGGTTTTCAAGGGGAATGTTTCCAGCGCTTGCCCATTCAGTATGATGAAGGCTGTTGGTTTGTCATAGATGACATTTATTATTTCGAGGTATGTTCCTTCAATGCCTACTTTATTAAGAGTTTTTAATATGAAGGGGTGTTGAATTTTATTGAAAGCCTTTTCTGCATGTATTAAGATGATCATGTGGTTTTTGTCTTCAGCTCTGTTTATGTGATTTATCATAATTATTGACTTGTGTATGTTGAACCAGCCATGGATCCCGGGATAACACCTGTTTGATCGTGGTGGATGAGTTTTTTGACCTGCCGCTGGATTTACTTTGCCAGTATTTTGCTGAGGATTTCTGCATCAATATTCATCAAGGATATATAAGCCTAAGATTTTTTGTTGATTTTGTTGTGTTTCTGCCAGGTTTTTGTATCAGGATGATGCTGACCTCATTTGGAATGAGCTAGGGAGGAGTCCCTCCACCTTAATTCTTTGGAATAGTTTCAGCAGGAATGGTACCAGCTCTTCTTTGTGCATCTGATAGAACTCAACTATGAATCCTTCTGGTCCTGGGCTTCTTTTGGTTGGTAGGCTATTTTTTTACTGACTCAACTTTAGCTTGTTATTGGTCTGTTCAGGAATTTAATTTCTTCCTGGTTCAGTCCTGGGATGTGTATGTGTTCAGGAATTTATTTATATCTTCCAGATTTCCTAGTTCATAATGTGCACAGTGGTGTTCATAATATTTATTCTCTGATGGTTATTTGTATTTCGGTGGGGTCAGTAGTAATATCTCCTTTGTCATTTCTGATTGTGTTTATTTGAATCTTCTCTTTTTTCTTCTTTATTAGTCTAACTAGTGGCCTATCTATTTTATTAATGTTTTTCAAAAACACCTCCTGCATTGATTGATCTTTTGAATGGATTTTTGTGTCTTAGTCTCCAGTTCAGCTCTAATTTCGGTTATTTTTTGTCTTCTGTTAGCTTTGGGATTACTATGCTTTTGAGTCTCTAGTTCCTTTAGTTATGATGTTAGGTTGTTAACTTGAGATCTTTCTAACTTTTTGAGGTGGGCATTTTCCTAAATTTCCCTATTAATACTACCTTAGCTGCGTCCCAGAGATTCTAGTATGACATATCTTTGTTCTCATTAGTTTCAAAGAACTTCTTGATGCCTATCTTAATTTTGTCATTTACCCAAAACTCATTCAAGAGCAGGTTATTCAATTTCCATTTAGCTGTATGGTTTTGAGTGAATTTCTTAGTCTTAATTTCAATTTTGATTGCACTGTGATTCACGAGATTGTTTGTTATGATTTTTAGTTCTTGCTGAGAAGTGTTTTACTTCCAAATATGTGATTGATTTTAGAGTAAGTGCCCTGTGGAGATGAGAAGAATGTATATTCTGTTAGTTTTGTATAGAGAGTTCTGTAATGTCTATCAAGTCCATTTGATCCAGTGATGAATTCAGGTCCTGAATATCTTTGTTAATTTTCTAACTCAATGATCTGTCTAATGATGTCAGTGTGGTGTTAAAGTCTCCAACTATTATTGGGAGGCACCTATTTCCCTTTGAAGGTCTCTAAGAACTTGCTTTATGAATCTGGGCGCTCCAGTGTTGAGTGCATATATATTTAGAGTAGTTAGATCTTCCTGTTTAATTGAACGCTTTACCATTATGTAATATGCTTCATTGTTTTTTTGTTTGTTTGTTTGTTTTTTGTTTTTTTTTCTAATCTTCATTGTCTGAAGGAGTCAGTTTTGGGGTTGCTGAATTTAAAGTGTCTCAAAAGACCTTCAAGTATTATCAAGAGGTAAAATCCTTTCTTAGATTTCAGGCCTGAAGGAAAGAGCATCTGGTTCAAAGGTTTAAGTGTATGGCAGGGGAAACTAAGTCACATATCCAGGCTAGACACAGAACTAGGGTTGGAAGTTGGGGCCTCAACTTCCAGTTTATGGTTCTTCCTGCTGCAGGAAGAGAGTATCTCTGGAACCATGAGTTACTCTTCTGAGAGAATGTAGCCAGTGCTTCTCCATCTGAGACTAACATCAGTTTATTCAGCCCTTCTCAAGACTAAACATAAGTCCTCCTAGCCTGTCAATGTAATGGTCTTTCATAATTTTAAATGCTGTTTGGGAGATTATGATCCTGTATCAATTCTCTAGGTAAAGAGAAATCTGCTCATTTAACCCTTCTTACAGTGTGGAAGGCAGGTTCGCAGAGGCAACGTGCGATGCTTTTTGGAACCATCTGAAAGAACAGCTATTGAGTACTCCTCCTGAATTTACTTGTGCTCTTAGACTTCTAAAAGAAATTAAGGAGGTGAGTAACCAACCTCCCATTCGTGGATGGGAAGTTCCTAGGCATCTCAAAACCTTGGATTGTCAATGGCTATTAATATCTTAAGCAACATACTTTTTAATGTGCCCTACTACTTAAACAGATAGGATGGTGCAGCTTCCATTTTATTTGTATAAGATGAAACTTGACAATTGAGCGATTACTGTAACAATATATAATTCAATTAAACAAATTCTTAATGAAACCCCACTGTGGTCTATGTGTTTCAGAAACACAGAGATGAATAGAAAGCCCTTGCCCACAAGGAACTTACATTTTTGAGTCAAAAGGCTATTTCAATTTTATCCTCACACTTTGGAGTAAAACAATCTAAAAATGTCCTTATCCTTTATTAAGAATACCTCATCTCCTTGTGGTGGTGTGTATTTCATATTTCTTGTATCCCACACATTTAAAGTCACATTCTTGTTTTTATTTATATTTTTTAACCTTATTCTACCTAAAAAATAATAATGACTACTACTATAACTGATCCCAATGAAACCTTGAATGGTAATTGTCCTCGAAACAGAAAGAAATAATACTCTTTAGGAAACCTAGAGACTCAGTTTTCTGACCCCCAGAAGACATAATCTGGGATGGCTTTGGCCTAAGAGCGTAGTTCATTGGAGAAAGTTTGGGGTTCTAAACAGAACTTGGCTCCTTTGATTTCCTTTGTTGGGCAGATCTTGCTGTCACTGCTACTACCATGGCAGAACCGCCTAAGAAACGAGATAGAAGAAGTTCTGGACACAGATCTTCTCAAGCAGGAAGCAGAACATGGGGCCCTTGATGTCCCTCGTCTTTCTAACTACATTCTCAATTTGATGGCCCTGCTATGTGCACCAGTTCGAGATGAAGCGGTACAGAAACTAGAGACCATAACAGATCCAGTGCGGTTACTGCGGTGAGAGTCTAGATGTGCTGTCCCCCAAATCAGCCTTAGACACTGTGCTAGAGAACTCTGAGCCGGATACTGTGATATAGTACCCATGTTATCTGGCTCTTGTGTACTGACGACCTGACTGGCACCTTTTCTCCTTTCTGGATTATTGGCTTTTATTTTCTAAGGATAGCCTCTCAGGCTTCCTTTGATGGTCTTTGGATCAGTTGGGCCTCCTTTATGTCATGATATTGTTAAGACATTAAGGTACAGTAATTCTTTCTCCTATAGATTGCAAATTGCCTTTTCCCAGATGTTCTCCTGTTCATCCCCACCGAAACTCTGTGAGGGGACAGGACAGAGGATTATCCGTGTTTCACAGCTAGAAGAACCAGGACCTGCAAAAGTAAAATGATCCGCTGAATGAGTTAGAAATTCGATCACCCACATCCCAACTACCCACATAATAACAGTTAACGCCTTGGTGATTTCCTTCCACTGACTACCCTTTTTTCAAGGTGACAGAATGACTGCAGGGGAAAGAGCTCTAATCCGGTAGTTAAAGTGTCAGGAGGTATAACTGTCCTTAGTTTTGCCATCAACTCACTCTATGGCCTTGGGTCACTGGCCACAGTACCATCATTCATAAGTTGAAGTGGGACTGTTTGTTTTTAAGGCTTCTTCTATCTCTCAAATACTCTGCTTTTATGGCTCCTTGCTTGGATTCCACTCTTTCACGTTAGATTTCCTTTAATAGTGTAAATGTTCTGTTTCTCCCTATGGCAGGGGCATCTTCCGTGTTCTGGGCCTAATGAAAATGGACATGGCGAACTATACCATCAAGAGTTTTCGACCCTACCTGCAGGAGCATTCCATCCAGTATGAACAAGCTAAATTCCAGGAACTCCTTGATAAGCAGCCCAGTATGTTTAAAATCTAAGGGCAGGAGAGGGGAGATTTGACCTTGGGTCTGCCTTCCTATAGCAGTGAAGACTATTTTTTATTTTTTGAATAGAATGTTTCTTCCTTGGACAAGGGGTAGGGAGAAGGAGTGTTAAAGACAGAAAGACCTACAAAAACACTTCTTTATTGACCAAGAGTATGTTTCAAAGCCTTTGTCTTTAAGCCTTGGGATTTTATGATGCATATTCCCTTCTCTGTCGTAGGTCTCCTCAATTATACCACAAAATGGCTAACCAAAGCAGCCACAGACATCACTACACTATGTCCGAGTTCTCTTGACTCACCTGGCTCCTCCTGCAGCACGGCATGTTCACTTCCAAACCGGGCAGCTTACAACTCCGAGCCGCCCAGTCCAACAATGGTGCTATACCAAGGCTACCTCAACCTCCTCTGCTGGGATCCTGAAAACGAAGAATTCCCTGAGGTAGGGATGTGTGTTGGGGCATTGCCTTATTCTATTGTATTCGGTGCCTGCATTTGAACCCTCCTCTTCTGATGGGCTGTCCTTCGCTCCCACACCAGACTCTGCTGATGGACAGGATCCGGCTCCAGGAAATGGCGTTCCAGTTGCACCAGTTAACCATTCTGGACTCAGTCTTGCTAGTGGCCAGAAGTTTCTCTGGTGAAGTTTTATTCAGCTCACCTGAATTTGTGGATAGACTGAAATGCATCACCAAGGCCCTGACTGAGGAACTTATCTCCAGGTAAGATTCACAGATCTCTGTTAAAGAGGAAAATGTGTGGTATTTGGGACATAGGCAGGTAATGTTAATAGTTAATATTATTATTGCTTATTCTTCATCACAAGCCACACAAAGGCCCTTGGGAACCATCTCCAAGGACTTTAGTGTCTTTGATAAGTTGTATTGAGGTTTGGGATACAAAAATAAAACTTATTTTTCCAGAGGAGAGTGTGGAAGCCAGTTTGCCAGAAACATTCCTTATGTGCTTGCTATAAGTGAGTCATTATATCCTTGATTGAATGACAGTGGATTTGAGCTATGTGTATCCAGAAGTTGGTCAGTGATATTGACCATTCACTGCATGTAGGGGCAGGGATACTGTAACAAAGTAAAAGGAGGAGTTGGAAGTCAAGGCATCTCAATATATTTGCAGTTTAATCGGTGGAGTAGGAGAAAAACCATGAAAAATACCCAATAGGATCTTAAAACAATATTTAAATAAAGTTGATGGGAGTGGAGAATGCTGAGTGGATCCAAGGATGGCAGCGAACCGTTGCCCAATATACTTCGTTTTCTTTGAAGTGGCATATGGTACTGTATGCTTGGATCAGGTGGTACTTTGTGGGTAACAATGAGTATATTTCACTTGCCCAGTGGCTAATGCTTTCTTCTGGTGGCAGAGAGCCGGAATTCTTCCTGGGATAGGTCTGGCTTCTGTTGTGAGGCTCTCTGAGCTTTGCCCCTCTGCCAGGCCCACTCTGCCTTCTCTCCTTCATTATCTAGGCCCGAAGAGGCTATGCTGAGTGTGAGTGAACAGGTGTCTCAGGAAATCCATCAAGGCCTCAAGGACGTGGGCCTCACTACTCTGAGCAGTGAAAATACAGCATCTCTTCTAGGCCAACTCCAGGACATCGCCAAGAAAGAGAACTGCATTCGTAGCATCGTTGGTAAGAATCCCCATGGTCGTGGTGCAGAAAAGTGGCAAGAATGTGGGGGGCGGGCAGGGAGACCTTACCCTAAAAGTGAGTTACCTACCCATTTAAAAATGAAAAGGCATGATCATTTGGAAAGTTTTTTAGCTTTAGTTTCCTCGTCTATAATGTGCACGATTCTAATAGATCTTCTTCAGTTTGAAGAATGTGTATGTGGTTTGAAGGTGGCTCTGCACCCAAGATCTGTGACTCGCAGGGGTGGGATACTGTTGCACTAACCCCGCGGAGTCATTCCTGGTCATCTTCTAACTGTCAGCCAAGATACATGGAGAAGCCCTTTCTGTATCCTATGCTTTAAGCTACCGCGTGGGCCCCTGCTCCTCTCCATGGAAGCGATGCTGAGTTAGGCTGTAGGACATGTTCCATGCTGGAATGGAAGCAGTGAATTTGGCCACCTGATTTGAAGTTTAGCATCTGTTCATAGTCTGGATTGGGTGTATGGGCCTGAACTTGGTGCACTGGCTGCAACATGTGTTGTTACTTTCAGGAACTGGGCCTACGGTCCTCTTGTTAAGTTAAACGTGCACTCGGATCCCGTGTACAACTATATAAAGTAATCTGACAAATTGCCAGAGGTTTACTAGCTCGGCATCTTTTGATCACACACTGTCCTTTGGGAGCTTGATGGCATTCCCTTCCCCCAGACAAACAAAAATCTCATGTATATGGTTTACCCAAATGAGTGAAGAGGTCAGCGAATAACTCGGTTAACATAAAACTTTGGTGAGCAGATAGTGCAAAGGCATTGTGAATTTCTTCTGAACCTTCTTTGTTCCTCTTTTCACTGTTTTCTCCCTGCTCATAGATCAGCGGATCCGTTTGTTTCTCAAATTCTGTTTGCTGCATGGCATGAAGGAGTCTCTGCTACACTTTCCTAGAGGCCTCATTCTCATTGAAAGAGAGTTGGCAGAACTGGGCTGGAAGTTTGTCAGTCTGATGCATCATAATCAGCAGGTATTTAGCCGATACTATGCTGAGATCCTAAAAAACATCATCCTTCCACCTAAAGCACAAGAAACAGATGTGGAGCCTCTCTGATAGTGCTGGACCCCAGCCATGGCAAAGGGGACCCAGGAGAGAGAGGTCAGCATGTTTCTGCTATGACGTCACCTGCAGCTAGTGAAACAATCAGCCCTCTTCCTCGTTACAGCCAGGACACTGGGATGCAGGAGTCAAGCATATAAACACCATCTGGCCCAATCCCCTTGACTAATAAACTTCTGAGCTGCAAGTAAATTTCAGTTCCTCCTGTGCTCTAGCTGAAGCCTGGTTTTGCATCCTCATCCCCTAACTAGCTGAGTGACAATCCAGTGGGCCCTCCGCTTTCCCTTCGCCAGCTGATCATTCTTCGGTATTCTGGCCTGAGCCAGAATCAGGGCATCAGGTACTGATAAGGGAAAAACCTGGGACTGTATACAATAATGCCCCTCTCCCTCCCCCTCCCCCCAAAAATGGGAAGGAGCTAAAAGACCAAAGAGTGACCTGGACAAGTCCAGCTTGATAAGCAGATGAATTGATTGGGACTTAACGTATAGGGCATTCCTGGGTGGCAGCAGGACAGCTCTGGGGATCTGCACTGCCACTCATCTGCAAGCAGCTTTTAAGCTAATTTTCCGGCTCTTTGCCTTCCATATGCAATGAGACTCTTTTTCTTGGTATGTTTCCCGGTACCCTCCGGGATGTTTTGGTGTTCAGGAACACATCGTTTCCTCAGCTGGGCACCATGCATGGCCTTGGATCACCACCTGGCCTTCGGGGTTCAGGCAGCAGACATACAGCCTAAGGCAGTCTGGTGGGGGAGAGGAGTAACTCATTAACCTACAGGTACCAGCATTATTTTCTCCAGTGAAAAATCATTCCCTTGAGGGCTGGGAAACTCTTTGTGGGATTATCCAGAGGATGCATATAAGGGCTTCTGGAAGTCAGAAATTCACTGAATTCCACATGAAGAGAAGACATAGAACTCCCATTTATTGCACCACATTTCCTTATAATTTTCAAGGATACAGCAATAGTAAGAGTTCCCAACTACTGTTCTACTGTGTGGTTTGAAGCAGTATGAAAACTGGGGATTGGTTGAAACTTGATATTGTCTGACAACAAGCATTCAGCTAAGGACAGGTCCCAGCTTCCATGGGACTTCTCTTTCCTTCCAGTGATTCTAGGAGTCTGGCTTGGAATCTCTGATAATGACAGTAAACCCAAGCAATTAGGTCAGCGAGTGTCATATGAAGTTCACCCCTGGTCTTATTTCTACAGCTGAATGAATCTTCTCTTTCCACATCTCTAGGCTTAGAACATCTCATTCTTCTTGACAGAATCGATGTGAGTATTCAAGAGTGGCGCAGCTGCCATGCATTTTCCCGCTCCTAGTCTGGGACTCCAACTGCCAGGTTATGAATATCAGCTGACTTAGCATCACAAATGATAAACGCTCTTGGTCCATATGGACTTGGGCTTGTTTTTAGAGATTGTAGCAGTTTATCCCATCATTCTCAGGTCAAGTGTAGCAGACAAGCAGCAATCTAGAAAATTAGGGGAAAAACTTAGGTTTCGGTCTGGACTAGGTTTGGTTTTAGAATGGACGGGGGAATATAGCAACTTACTTATGGGATAGACCCAAACTGGGTGCAAAAAAAAAAAAAAAATAGTGTCCGCATTATTTTGGGGGAGGAAGGAGCTGAGTGCAGCTTACTCAGTCCAAGAAAATTAACAGATGAGATTGGAGTTCCACGAGTCCCAGGGGAACCACCTAATTGATTTCCTAGAGGGTGGATACTAGACGGGTGACATAGCTGGGTAAACAGAGTGCTATTTTTACCTTGGCTGGAGATGAAGCACACAGGCAAGCTGTGGAGGGGATCATTCAGGTGTTCTAATCTTGTGACTAGATAGTCTCAGGACAGAGACCATGGCAGATGAAAGTTTCATGTTTAATAAATTGGCAGTGAGCCTTGCCTAGTTACATTTTCTAATCTGACTGGCCAATATTAATACAATTTTTTAAAAAATATTAATTCTGAAAGGCAGATTATCTTGCAGACAAATGTGTTCTGAAGGGATCCCTATGGAGATGACTTTGGGCTACAGTGAAACTTTGCTTTATACTTTATAATTACAATCTGATTTGTCTTTATTTCTTAGCGATTTTGAGTTTATTGGTTCTCTTGTGCTTCCACATGGAGGAAATGGGAATCCTGGTCCTCAGCAAGGAAAGATAGCTCCACTCAATTCTGTTCACCCTTTAGGGATGGGTGGATGGACAGTTAGATAGATAAATGAAACATGCACATGGTTAAAAATGACATACATCACAGAGAAAATTCAGTTTCTTTCCCACCTTTGTATCTCATTTCTCCTACTGAGAGGAAACTATTACCAAATTTTTGTGTATACTTGTAGAGATATTCTGTGCATATGCAAGTACATATTACAATTATAACTAATTTTTGTGAGTGTGTAGGCGCCAGGCAGCCTTTTAAGCACTCTACATATATTATTTCATTTATTCCTTGACAATTTATCTCCAATCTACTTTTCTAATTCTAGAACAATGTGGTAGAAAATGCTCTAAATGAGGGTAAGAACCTGTGTTTGTTTGCTTGCTTATATATTTATTTATCTGGTCTTCTTTGAGTGAGTAAGGGAAAATCATTTCACTTTCTTGGGCTTTTTCTTTGTCTTCATCTCTAGAATTCTATACCTGACTAAATTACTGACTTTGTTGTTCAATTCTATAGAGTCGTTTTTCAAAAAAATGCAATCTTTTCAGAAGTCCACGAATAAGAGAGATCAAAGCCAGGCAGCTTGAGTTGAAGTCGAACTGGAGGAAGGAGTTTTGGGGACTGGTTCAAAACCACTGGACTAGATGATATCTAAAGGTTCCTGTATTATTTTCCTCTTTTCTTATGGATGCTGTAACAAATTACTCCCTGAACTTTGTGGCTTAAAGTAACATGCATTTATTCTCTTATAGTCCTGAGTGTCAGAAGACCAAAATCAGTTTCAGTGCGTCAAAATCAGGGAGTCAGTAGGGACAGGCTCCCTCTGGAAGTTCTAAGGGACAATCCATTGCCTTCCCCTTTTTAGTTTCTGGAGCTGTATTCTTTATTCCTTGGCAAAGCAATGGGTTCTTCCCTGGAGCTCCCAGAGCTCCCATTCCTTTGTCATCCAAACCAGCATTATAGCACCTTGTGTCAGTCATCACATCGCCTCCTTCTATGTGAAATGTCCCTCTCCTTCCCTCTTAATGAGGAAACGTTCTTACATTTAGGGCCTGGCAGGATAATCCCCCATCTCAAGATGCTTAGTCACATTTGTAAAATCCCTTTTGCCATATGAGGTGACAGTCAGAGGTTCCAGAGACTACAACATGGATATCTTTGGAGGCCATTATTTAGCTTAACACAGTCTCCTCTCTAACTCCCCAAAATTCATGTTCATTCTACATGCAAATTATGTTTGCCTCACCTCAATATCCCCAGAAGTCTTAACACGTGACACACCAACTCGAGTCGAAAATCTCATCTGTAAATAACCTAAGCTAGGTATGAGACAGACTCTGGGTGTGATCCTTCATGAGGCAAAATTTCTCTTCATCGGTGGCCGTGCGAACTAGAAAAAGAAGTTACCTCTTTTTGATTATAGTGGTGACTCGGACATAGGATGATAGTTGTAGACAGTCACCCTCCCAATGGGAAAAACTGAAAGCAAGCAAAAAGTTACCAGCTCCAGGCCAACTTGAAATCTAATCAGGTAAACTCCCTTAGGTTTCAAGGCCTGGGAATATTCCTCTGTGGCTAGAGGCTCTGCCGTCTATGCCTGAGGCTCCACCCTTTAAGTGGACAGAGCCAGGCTCTGTCCTCAGAGTCATCTTTTTGTTTTGAAGAGTAATACATGTTTGCAGCAGAGTACTTTTATCAGCCTTTTTCTTGCCTGTAGAATTTTGGAAGTCCAACAGCCTTCTTTCATTTCATCCTCTGTCACTTTAGTTCAAGTTGACAGTGCTTCTGCTGGCATGGCATTCTTTAAAAACCTCATGTGTTAAGGATTCTCTCCATTGGACAAGAGGATCCTTCACAGATCTTTCCCGGATAATCTTATCTATATTCCTAGATTCCGTTGCGATGATCGAGGGGATCCATGAGTCACATGCACAATTTCATTTAACCCTGTGAATATTCTGATCTTTTTATTCTTTCAAAGCTCTTGCAAAAGATTCTCCAGCCATATCCTTGGCTTTCTCCTTAGTGCATGTTTTCCTGAGAGTAAATCTCCTAATTTTAGCATTTTGTGCAGTCTGAATAGGCTGAGAATTTCCCACATCTTAAAGTCTTGGATCCTTTTTGCTTAATAGATCTCCTCTCTCAATTTCTCTCCTTATTCTTGTGTTATTACCATAGGCACCACTAAGAAACCAGGCCACAGCTTCAACACGTTACTGGAAAATCTACTCAAATAAATACTCAGGTTCATCCCTTATAAGTTCTGCTTTCCACACAAATGTAAGGCACGATTGAGCTGAGCTTTCTGCCACCATGTGACAAGAATGCCCTGTCTTCCAGTTCCAAAAACATGTTTCTTACTTCCTTCTGAGCCCTCAGCAGCAGTGCCTTTATCACCCATATTTCTACCAACCGTCTGTGACAATTTAGGTATTCTCTAAGACAATAAAGGCTTTCTTTGCTGCACGAATTCTTTATTGAATTCTGCCACATTCTTTATTGAGATAAAGAATTGAATCGAATTCACACAACAAAAAGTTTCCTGTTTTAAAAGATACAATTCAGTTTTTTTTTTTTCAGTGCACTCACTGTGTTGTGCGATGTTCCCCATATTCTATTTTGGTAACATTTCCATCATCCTAAAAAGAAATCCTGTACCTATCAGCCGTCAGATTCCTGCCCCAACCCCCAGTGGTTACTACTCTACATTACCAGAAGCTCCCCTGTGAGTGGTATTCCTTGTGGCCTCACAGTGGCTTAACCCTGGGATAAGTCCAGCAAGGGAGGTTAGCAAAGCAATGCACTGTGGCTGACCACTGTCTACCTGGTGGTAAAGTGGCGGCTGCCCTCCCAAGGCGAAGACCTTGGCAGCAGAGAAAGTAGTTAAGAAGGAAGTTTTTTTTCTGAGAGGCAAAGTCTCTGGAAGTGTGGGAAGATCTCTCCGCATGAGGTACCACACAAGGACCTCAAATCCCAAGGTTAGAGAGGAGGTAGAGAGCCCTGGTGACTGGAATCTATTTATTGTCAACTTCCTCATGCCAACTTGAGGCTTAAAGAGTGGTTGGGAAGGTTTTGTTTCGATTTCCCAGCTGCAGAATCTTCCATCTGCCTGGCTTCTGGGCCTTTAGGGCTAGCTGATCGGCCACCTTATATGCCCGCCCCAAGGTCAGGATGGTCTCCTGAGTCAGATCCTGGGAGGAAACACATCACAACCAAAGTAATTTGGGGGTTTAGAGGCTGTTTCTTCCCTTTCTGATGCCTGTCCTGTGTCACCATGCCCCTATGCAGAGCACAGGCACAGGCATAATCTGGACCAGAGAGATTATTACACTGGCAATGTGAGCTATAGTTACGCCATCTGTAATTAAATTGCCCCATTTAGTCTTCAGAAGAAGCCCTTGAGATCGGTTGCATTATATGCCAGTTTTTACAGCTGAGGAATTAGGCACAGTGAAAGTTGCACAAGATCATACAGCTAGTGAATGACTGGGCCCAGAATCAAATGGAGGCAGTCTGTTACCAGAGCCTCTGCTCCTAAACACCCCACTGCCATTAGGCAGGTGGTAAGTTTGGGACACACGTAAGGTCCCAGTGATGTTGGGAGTGCCAAGAGTTGTCTAGGTTCCAGAGCCATAGATCTTCTGGAAAACACCATTTTCCCTGACACTGAACAGCAGCATGCACTCTAGTTATTGAGAGGGCAGCAGCGAGCTCTGTGAAAGGTAGATTACAAGGTGGATTAGCTTGCTGGGGCTTCCGTGATAAAGTGTACAAACTGGGTGGCTTAAACAACAAACACGTATTTTCTCACAGTTGTGGAGGCTAGACATCTGAAATCAAGGTGTCAGCAGCACTGATTCCTTCTGAGAGCTGTGAGGGAACGATCTGTTCCAGACCTCTCTTCTTGGCTTAGAGATGGCTGTGTTCTCCCGATGTCTGTTCACATTACTTTCAGTTTGTGCATGTCTTGTACCAATTTCCCCCCTTTTATACGGACACCAGAATGACCTCATCTTAATTAATTACAACTGCAACAACTCTATTTTCTAATAAAGTAACATTCTGAGGTACTGAAGGCTAGCTCTTCAACACACAAAATGTTGTGGGGGGCACAATTCAACCTGTAAACAGACAGCATCCTCACTTCATGGGCTCCGTCATTACCTCTCTTCCATCTCACTGTGGACAGTGTATGTAAGGATGTACTCCCTCTTCAGAGGTCAGTGCCATCCATAAACAAACTGGAGCAGAAACTTGAGGAAAGAAAATATATTGCCTGGGAGAGCATAGGTACCCCAAAGAAGAAAATTGGAAGGATGTCACATAAAGTATCGGACTGAAGCTTTGGTAAATAGGGCGTCGTGTTGACAAAGGAGGAACGTTGGGCAAAATCCAGGCCTTGCCTGACCTAGGAGATAACGGTCTAGAAGCTGTAAAACCTGCCGCTGAAATGGTGGGCAAGCCCCTTCCTTGCTCTGTGCTTTAATGTCACCGATTGTTACGTACTGAACTGTGGCCCGCCAAAATTCATGCATTGAAAGCTTAACCCCCAGTGCTTCACGATGTGGCTGTATTGAAAGGTAGCACATTTAACAAGGTAGTTCGGTTAAAAGGAGGCCATTAGTGTGTGCTTTCATCCAATCTGCCTGTTGTCCTTATAAAAAGAGGCAGTTAGGACATATAGTATTAGAGATAGTAGGGATGCACCCACACACAGGGACTACCACGTGAAGAGGCGGCAAAACAGCAGGCAGCCATCTGCAAGTGAAGGCGAGAGGCTGCAGAAGAAACCAAACCTACCGGTACCGTGTGTTGGAATTCTGGCCTCTGGAACTGTGGGAAAATTAGTTTCTGTTGTTTAAGCCGTCCAGTCTGTGCTACTTTGTTATGGCACTCCTAGCAAACTAATACACTGCGGATTACAGTGATACAGACTGAGTGATAGCTAAGACTTCATGTGCACGTCAAGCAATTGCTAAGTGCCAACAAGGTGCTGGCAGAGTGCTGGTGATGAGTCCAGCCTGCAGATACCCTGCTCAACAGTGACATTCTCCTGGGGAGCAAGCAGTGTCCTGGGATTCCGTGACTACTGGTTTCCCTAAGGGCATACCTTTATCACCTCCCTCCTCAACCCTTAGAAAGTGCGCCCTCCCACAGTTAAATCGCCACCTTTCCATGATGCAGGTTAGGGTGCTAAGAACACCCAGACACCACTTCTTCCCACTTTAGTTTATTTTGATGGGGTTGAGGGACAGTCTCTAACCTTGCGTGATCCAAGTTTGAAGTTCCTGCTCTTGGATGTGGCCACTGAAGGGGTGAAGGGTTTATATCCAACCGCTGGCTTTGTTTAACATGGGGGTTACAGGAGGGTGGGATCATAAGGAGTGCTGCATGGAGGGGAATTCTGAGATCATTAAGGGAATGATGCCATTAAAGCCTCACGAGCAGACCACTAGGACAAATGGAATCCATATTTGCAAAGACCAGCAGCCGTTATGCACTAGGGCTGAGGGCAGGAGTTATTGGCAGGAACCCCAGGGGTAAGGGGGTCAGTTCAGAGGCAAGTTCTGGGACAAGCTGTTAGGAGTGCAGAGTAATACACAGGACCCAGAGGTGTTCTGAGGGAAGGCACAAAAGTTAGTTGGAGATGAGGGATGGAAGAGGGCCTGAAGGCTACTCCCCTCCGGAGTTCCTATAACTGCTTCTGGGCTCATTCCCCACAGAGGCTCCTTGTGAGAAGCACCCCTTGTTGGAGGTGTTTATGAGCTTGATGCCTTGGTACATGATGGGCAGGAAGAGAGGCAACATACAGGGAATAATGCCTCCTCCCAGAGCTAAGCCCTCACAAATTCCATAGTCTCAGCCTCCTTGCCACCATATCCCTAAGCAGAGTGCGCCAGGCCCTGGGGAAATGAGCAGAGGAGCTGTAGCTGGAGCCTCCTGGCTGTGGCTGCCATTTGCTGCCCTGCGTCCTAATCAGCCCTTACTTACACCTCACACTCCTCACCGTTCCACAGATAATCTACCCGCAGCTTGGTACAGGCATCTACAGTGGATGTTGTCCCTCACAGAATTTTTTGACCAGCGTGGAGCCCAGATACTGTGGAAACAAGGAGTGACGAGGCTTAGGAAGCTCTGCATGGCCACCCCTGGGTGGCCAGCCAGTTTTGGACCATGCCACTGGCAGTGTTCTCCAGCCAAAAGATCACCAGGAGCACACCTGGAGCCAAACATACTTGGGCTTTTGACTCATTGCAGTGAGGAAGAATGTAAACCGGGGAGGTCTCCCAATAAGAGGGTGTTAGAGATGACTTATTTTAGGATTTTGGCTTGTGTTAACTGATTTTTGTGGAGCGTTCAAGGAAGTCAAGATTTGCTCTGGATTGGATTGCTCTTAGGAAGTGGGGATAAATGCAGAAAAACGAGTAGAAATGACCGTGTGCAACTTTAGAGACTGGCCACGGCCTGCCACTCTCGCTCTCACCCCCTGTTCTGGAGGCTTTAGCTGCCATGTTGTAAGGACACTCAAGCAGCTTTTGGCGGGGCCTACGTGGCAAGGAACATAGGTCACATATTTCAAAGACAGAGTAAGTCTGAACTATGTTTCTGTTAGTTGTTTGTTTCAATTCCCTAAGGATTCAGACAGATCTTTGCCTGAAAGGCTTTATTGTAACTCTGTCAGCTAAATTCCCTTCAAGTTTTCACAATCAAATGGCACCTGCACCTTCAGGCAGAAGAGCCAGTGGCTCACTCTGTCCAGAATTCAAGGTAGAGCATATGGAAATGTTAACAGCTTTAACAAACCTCATCATCTAAAGTGCCAGGCCATAGTCTAAAGTGCCAGCACTAGCCTAATTTCCCAGCCCGCTCTTCTCTCCTGAGCCCCAAACTCTTCTTTACAGCTCTGTGTGGCACAGGGTGAGTGTTAGTAGCCATCACCCCATGCAGGCTGTGCTCTGTGAAATGTATGACGACTAGGGCCCTCCAACACGTATATGGACCACTATTAACACACCTCCGTCTTCACCAAGCATGAACTCCCTTGTCTCTCATGTCTGCCTCTCTATCTGTGACTTTGTGTGTCTGCAGGGGAGGCATAAACTAAGCATCTTAGTGCAGTGACAGGAGCTTTAGTTTCAGCGAGCTCAGAGCAGAGTCAGTTTGCACACAAGGAGATAAGGCTGCAGCCATTGCTGACTACAAACTCCACTGGGGCCCTAAGTGTGGAGTAAACTGCAAATTCAGAAAAATCACCAGGGAAGAGGTTTGTGAGGCCAGAGGCTCTGGTGTAAAGGAATGCGCAAGTATGGAGCCATGTCGGCATGTCTGAGGATCAGCCTCTCTGTGGGGACTTCCACACAGAATTTCTCATCAGCACACTGGGAAAATGTTTAACCCCTAACCCTGAGCAGCAGGGTCAATGGGTTGGGGGGTGGGGGCAGGGATATTGACCATAAGGAGAAATTCAAAAGGGGCCCATATTATGCTGGGCCTTCATCAGCTCCCTGGGGCTTTCTCTACACCAAGGGCATAAACATTTTAAATTTCATACAAATGGTATAAACATCTTAAACTTTAAGGGATTCTGCCAAGTGAAACTTAAAATTATAAAAGTTTGACATGAAAACCCACAGTACACAAGAAGAACCTGTTTCCTAACACCCTTCCCATAGGGAAAACAACAACAACAACAAAAGCAAAACAAAACAAAACAAAACAAAAAAACAAAGTGTATTCGGTGTCCCGCCTTTGCACTCTGAAAATTTATCTTTTCATTTAATACGTTATCTCAAGTTTTGCATTACAACTTCTGTAGTTACTGTAACTTGGAACATTTTCATGGCATTTTATTTGGCATATTTGTTGGTCTTCATGAGAATTCCAGGTTGACATCATTTTCTCATTCTTCTGTAAAGTTATTTGTGTATCAAGGATGTCAATCTCTCATCTGAGATACATTTGCCAAGCTATCTTCCCAATTTTTTTCATATGTCTTTTATTTTTTTGCAAGTCACTTATTTTTGAATTATAATAGATTTTTATGATTAAAGAAGTAATATGGTTTTATGTCTTAAGAGTTAATAAAGAATGTATGGAGGTCTTAGAACTCCAGCCTCTGGATTGATCAGTGTTAAACGGCAGCCCCGGCAGTGGTGGCTCCAGGAGCCAGTACAAAACAGCTTGGACTTTAGGGTAAGTCCAGTATTTAAGTCTCTGCTCTCTCTGCTTTCTCTCTCTCTCTCTTCTCTCTCTCTCTCTCCTCTCTCTCTCTCTCTCTCTCTCTCTCTCTCTCTCTCCCCCTCCCCCCCTCTCTTTCCTAGTATCATGCCCTATGGCAAGTTATTAATCAGCTCTAACTTTTCCCCTCCTTGTAGGTAGGACAGTGGTAATACCGATTGTGAAAGGTTTCACAAAGATGGAAGGAGATCACATAACAAGTTTTATTCACACAGAAGCAGGTTGGTGACTTTATATATGTCCCTTGGCTCTTTCACAAGCTTTTCCCTGCACACTTGAGGTTGTCCCTGTACACTACAGCTTCTCAGGAACCAGCCACATGGTGATTATTGCTGAGTAGGGTACTGATCGTGACTTTTCTTATGTATAATTCATTTAGTTCCAGACTACAGAAAACATTTCACTATCTTAATTAAAATTACATTTGTGCCATCTTTGCTGTGGCCCCAACCCTGTAATAGCCACTAGCCCCCTCAGCAGAGTGTGTAAGGGAGGGGAGGCACAAACTAAGTGTCTTAGTGCAGTGGCAGGAGCTTTAGTTTCAGCGAGTGCAGAGCAGGGTCACTATCATAGTCATCTGTGACACAATAAAGAAGATAATTCCTGAGTAAGGAGATTTCATCAGGACTGCACTTTACATTCTTTCAGCATTTGTGAAAAAAGAAACCATTTGTTTATCCAGTCTATCACTGATGGACATTTGGGTTGGTTCTAAGTCTTCGCTATTGTAAACAGTGCCTCAGTGAACATACATGTGCGTGTGTCTTTATAATAGAACGGTTGATAATCCTTTGGGCATATACCCAGTAATGGGGTTGCTGGGTCAAATGGTATTTCTATTTCTAGGTCCTTGAGGAATCGCCACACTGTCTCCCACAATGGTTGAAGTAATTTACACTCCCACCAACGGTGCAAACGTGTTCCTATTTCTCCACATCCTCTCCAGCATCTGTTGTCTCCAGATTTTTTAATGATCGCCATTCTAACTGGCGTGAGTTGGTATCTCAATGCGGTTTTGATTTCCATTTCTCTAATGACCAGTGATGATGAGCATTTCTTCATATGTTTGTTAGCTGCATAAATGTCTTCTTTCGAAAAGTGTCTGCTCATATACTTTGCCCACTTCTTGGTGGGCTTTTTAAATTTTTTTCTTGTAGATTTGTTTAAGTTCTTTGTAGATGCTGGATATTAGCCCTTTGTCAGATGGGCAGAATGCAAAAAATCTTTTCCCATTCTGTTGGTTGCCGGTTCACTCTAGTGATAGTTTCTTTTGCTGTGCAGAGGCTCTTAAGTTTAATTACATCCCATTTGTCTATTATGGCCTTTATTTCGTTGCTTTTGGTGTCTTAGTCATGAAGTCCTTGCCTATGCCTACATCCTGAATGGCATTGCCTAGGTTTTCTTCTATTTGTAACATATTTAAAAAGCTTTTCCAGGGCCACAGGTCTAGTTTTAAGTACCCTGGTGTCTACATCATGCCCGAAAGTTACACATAAATCCCCCTCACTTGATGGTGAAGATCATGGTGGAGATGAAATCCTGCCCCCTAGGTCCAGAGGCTTGGATATAGGGACACATGGATTGGTGGTGTGTGGAGTTCAGGCAGAAGCACAGGAAAAAATGACCTCCAAGGAGGGAAGGAAATAAACATTTACCAAATTACTTTAAGCTAGAGGCACTAGACATGGTATCACTTTTAAGCCAAACATGCATTCAATTAACCCCATTATTCACAAGTGTAGAATTAGATCTAAAGCTATTTTTCCATTGTGTTCTGAAGCCTTCAAGGTTTTGAAGGCTGGAATCGCCAGTGGTTGAGTAGTTGATACAACATCAATACTCAGTTTTATGTTTTCCACCACGAGTTGCCTTATTTTTAAATAAAAAAAAATGAATAAATTAAAACAATTTTTGTGCTGCCAGAAGGAAAAACATTTTAAAGTGTGAAAAGCCATGAGTAAATAGTTGTAAACAGTATTACCCACTTAGATCATAATACACTTGACCACAAAGGACTTATGCTAATCAGTGGAGAATGGGACAAAAGATGTCAACAAATACTTTGCCTATAAAGCAAAATGCTTTTCTAATAAACCTCTGGACACATGCCAAACTGTCCCCGAACCAAACCGAGGGTCGGGCTGCTTATTCTTGAGGCCCAATAACGAGATGCAGATGAACTGGGAGAAAAGGGAGTTTTTATTTCTGTAATTGTTCACAGGGAGAAGGCCTGGAAGTTATTGCCAGACCAACTCAGAATTACAAAGTTTTCCGGAGCTTATATACCTTCTAAGCTATATGTCTACGTGTAAGTGTGCATTTATCAAAAGACATAAGTGATTAGCTTCTTCTAATGTATAACTAAGATCTTCCTCTGGAGCGTCAGTACATTTACTTAATCTAAATGGGTCCCCGTGCTGGGGTGATTACCTTTATCTTGTCTCCTGATAAGCCATGGAGGTTTGGGGAGTTCCCTTGGTCCCTAATAAAGCTTGTTTGTGGAAACCTGGCGAATATCTTCAGACCCCTCCCATGAAACTTGTTTAATCCTGAACGGGTCCTGTTAACAATTTCTTCATTATCTTGTCATGCTTTAAGTCCCAGGAAGGCCTAGGCAAAATTCTTGGTGGAGCTTTGTTGCATTCCAGCCTTTGTATAAGGGCACTGGCTGTTTTAGCTTTTAGTATTTAACTTCACCACTGAGTCAGAACTGAAACAGTTGATATGGGGCCTGCGTTAGTGAGACGTGGCCTGTGACAAAACCACACTTTAATCGAAGAAATGAAAATATGATGTACAAATAAGTAACGAAGCGAATTTGAAGTAAATTATTTATGTGATTGCAAATTTTAAAAAGAGCCTACAAACAAATACTCACAAAAATATTTAAGGTAGTGCTATGCTTTGAATATGTCCTTCGAAGTTCATGTGTTGGAAACTCAATTGCTGTCATAACAATGGTGAGAGGTAGCACCTTTCAGAACAGATTAGGTCGTGAGGGCTCTGCCCTCATGAATGGATTAATGCCACTATTGTGAGAGTGTGTTAGTTATCATGAGAGTGAGTGAGTTCCTGATAAAAAGCTAAGTGAGAACCCCATTGTATCGTTGTCTCACACACTCTATCACCATGTAATGCCTTCAATGGCCCTTGCCAGATACCGGTGCCATGCTCTTGAGACTTCCCAGCCACCAGAACACTGAGCCAAATAAAATTGTCTTCTTTATAAATTTCCCAGTTTGTGCATTCTTTCACAGCAGTAGAACACACACTACGGCAGGCAAGTAAACATATTACCCAAAAAGAAACACATCTGAAAATATACACCAGTCTTTTTACATTGAATATGTATAGGTCATAGTGATGGGGTCATGTAGATGGAAGATGTAGAATGATTTCATCTTGTAAATATACATTTATAATGCTCAGTGTTTTTTAATTAGGAAAATTTATTGAGAGAAACACTTGAAAATATGTAACAGCAAGTTTACAAAGAAATCACATATATATTTTTATTTTAAAAAGTGTTCATTCTATTTTTTTTTTTTTAAAGAACGATTGTAACTCTTGACTTGAGAGTTACACCTATCTGTGTAGGTGTGTGATTTGTATATTACACTTCCAACCCTTAGAATGCTCAAACTCTTGTGTGCAGATTTATCTTCTACTGTCTCAGGGGTTGGTTGTCCTCTCTCGGAGCATAGGGACACAAGAAGGGATTGCTGTCAATGGATGGACAGTTATAGAAATTTCTGGTTGATGCACTGCATATCAGTCCCTTTTATCACTCCCTCCTGCTTGCAAACTGAGCTGTCCTGGGACTTTTGAGGTTAGAAGTCTGACTCTGACAAACAGATAGCATCTATGTACATTCAATATTTTAAAAGGAAAAGGTGTGATTATTTTTTTCTACTCTCATTCCAGTGACCACTAAATTATGTTTTCTATTTCCTTTATACTTTCCATGTCTGTCTCTAATATGCTCTCTCTGAGATGGACTGAACATTTTTTTCTGTCATTCAGTTACTTTCAGATATTTCTATAACTTTGTCCTTCCTTAAGAATATGTGATGAGCAAGAGTTTATTAAAACTATGTATGGTGAAATCGTGCCCATCCAATAGAGCTCCGTTCCAATGATGGCAATTTCTTGTAGCGTCTGAATGAACCCTGACAAGCTTCTACAACTCATTACATCTCAGCAATCTAAGACAGGCCAAGAAGCTGGTAATTCTGCATATCAGAATCCTGTTTGAGGAGCACATGAAGGAAAAAAATGTAATGCAATGCAGCAAACACAGAGCTTGGCAAGCAGCAGGCCCTCAGAGTTCCCCCATGTCTGTAGCTACAAGTACCTGGGTTCCAGGTCTGCTGACTATAGTTTGCTCTGCAGGGGTGACTCAATTGGAAACAGCTCCCTGGGTGTTGGTAGCAAACTCAGGGGGCACGAAGAACGGGAAGTAGAGTCTCTTCTGACTCCTAGGGCTCTCCCCACTATGCCCTTCAGGAAAGGAGTTATTTTGAAAACTCCACCTTGTGCATGTGACCCTGACAATGTGGTCTGTGGCCTACTCTTGCCTTGTTTGACAGATCCCCTCAATTTTCTCTGAACCCCAGCTCCAAATCTCACAGATTCTCCTCACAAACACCATATGAAGACAGTGGTGACAGGTCACTTCCGACAGGCCACACCATGGGCGAATAGGCCAGTGCCAATCCTTGGCCTCAGGACCTCACAGGGCATGAAGGGTTCTGAGACCCTCTCCCACTTCAACCCACAGGACACCCAGCAGGTTCACTTTCAGTTAGAGGTGGTAGGTGGTGAGGGCCCAGGCTGACTGTTTTCCATTGTTCTGAGGATGAGGGCCAAGTGAATCCTGAGATACCTGTCTTAGTCCATTTTCTGCTGCTTTAGGAGAATACCCAAGACTCCCTATATTAGTCCGTTCTCACACTGCTATAAAAATACTACCTGAGACTGGGTAATTTATAAACAGAAGAGATTCAATTGACTCACAGTTCCGCATGGCTGGGGAGGCCTCAGGAAACCAAGGATCATGCCAGAAGGCAAAGGTGAAGCAAGGCATCTCTTACCTGGCAGCAGTCGAGAGAGAGAGAGAGAGAGAGAGAGAGAGAGAGAGAGAGAGAGAGAGAGAGATACAGAGAGACAGAGCGAGGAAGCGCCACACTTTAAAACCATCAGCTCTTGCAAGAACTCTGTCACTATCATGAGAAGAGCATGCGGAAAACCTCCCCCATGATCTAGTCACTTCCCACCAGGTCCCTCCCTCCACACGTGAGGATTATGATTCAAGATGAGACTCGGGTGGGGGCACAGAGCCAAACTGTATCACTGGGTGATTTATAAAGAACAGCAATTTATGTCTTACGGTTCTGGAGGCTGGGAAGTTCAAGGAAGGGTCTTGCATGTGATGAGAACCTTCTTGCTGTGTCATCCAATAACAGAAGGTGGGAAGGTTAGAGAGCACAAGTGAGAGACAGCATGAGATCAAACTCATAGACTCAAGCCCTTTTATAATTGGCATTAATCCATTCGTGAGGGTGCAACCCTCATAACCCGAACACCTGCCATTAGGCCCAACCTCTCAACAGTGTTGCACTGGGGATTAAGTTTCCAACACATGGTTTTTTGAGGACACATTCAAATCAACCATTGCATCCTTCCTCTGTCCCTCAAATTTATGTCCTTATCACATGCAAAATACATTCATTCCATCCCAGTAGCCCCAAAGTCTTAACTCACTCCAGCACCCAAAGTCCAGAGTCTCATCTGCATCAGAGATGGGTGAGACTCAAGGCAGGATCCAGAGTGAGGCCAATTTCCCCTAGCTGTGAGTCTGCGAAATCAAACAAGTTGTCCATTCCCAAAATACAATGGCGGGACAGGCATAGGATAGATATTCTCATTCCAAGAGGGAGAGATAGGCAAGAGAAAAGGCATAACTGGTGCTAAGAAAGTCCAAAACCCGTCAGAGCAAACAACATTACATTTTGAGGCTTGAGAATAATGTTTCTTAGCACCAAGTTCTGCCTTCTGGGCACACTGGGGCAGGGATTGAGCCCCCAAATTCTCAGGCAGCCATGCCTCTATGGCTTTGCTGGGCCCAATCCACCCAGCAGCTCTCACAGGTTGGAGTCTTGTTCCTCCAGCTCTCCCAGTGTAGCATTAAATGCCGGTAGCACTACAATTCTGGGATCTTGGTATCAGTCCAGCTCCCACGCCTCTACTAGACGTGACCCGAATTGGGACTCCCTGTGACTGACTTGTTCCCACAGCCCTATCAGGTACTGGTCTGGTTGGGGCTCTCTCTGGCTGCTGTGCCCCTGTGTCAGGTCTCTACATGGGCACTCAGGCTGTCTGCAACATTCTGTGAAATCTAGGTGGAGGCTGTCACAGACCCATAGTTTGTGAACGCTGTGTACCTGCAGAATTAGCACCATTTGGATGCTGCCAAGGTCCACCACTTGAGCCTCCCAGACCGGCAGCCTGTTCAGCACCTGGGTCCCCTTGAACTATGGCTGGCACAGCTGAGGAGTGCTGCATGAAGGTGTGGGGAGCAGGCACTAAACGCAGCACCGGGCAGCAGATGCTGAGGTCTTGTGGGTACCTCTCTGGAAACTTTGCCTTTGGGCTCTGCTCTGAGCATGTGAGTGGAGGAGCAGCCTGGAAAAACTCTGAAATGCCGTCAGGGCCTTTCTCCAGTGGTCTTTGTCTTACTCAGTGGCACCTGTTCCCCTTCTATCCCTGGTAATCTCATTAGCAAAGTGGTCACTTGGCCATGCCTTTAGTTTGCACTCCTAAACATGCCTTTTCATTCTTTACATGGCCAGAGTGAAATTTTTCAAAATATTTACCTTCTTCCTCTCTTTTAATTTACACACTCCATCTTTAAAGCATTTCTCTTCTCTCTCATTTTTGTCTAAGTGGCTGAACAAAGTCACGCAGTACCTTGAATGTTTTGCTGTTTAGTTATTTTTACTGCCAGATAGCCTAGTTCCTTCCCCTAAGTTCTTTTAATGTGAGTACATAGTAGGTGTATATATTTATGGGGCATACGAGATATGTTGGTACAGGCATGTAATGTGTATTAATCACATCACATCCCCTCAAGAATTTGTCATGTGTGTTACAAAAATTCTAATTATATCCTTTTTGGTACTTTAAAATGTACAGTTCAACTATTACTGGCTTTAGGCACCATGCTGTGATATCAGATACTAGACCTTATTCATTCTTTCTATTTTTTTTTTTTCTTAATCCATTAGTCATCCCCACCTGCCCCCTGCC